TGTGTGTGTGTGTGTGTGTGTGTGTGTGTGTGTGTGTGTGTGATCACTGAGAGACCAGTGGGAAAGACTGATGAAACACCAAGCAGGTGTTACTCTTTGTAGAGCAGAGGAAAGAAGACTTTTTCTCAAAGATGCACCCCTGCATTCAGCCTTCTTTGTAATACCCGCAAAAGGTAAAGGGATTCTCAGAAACTTTGAAGTTTTCAAGGCAAGAAAATTGTGAGAACCATCTCAGTTCTGAAAATAATGTAGCAGACTTGGGGTGATGACCTTTGACAGTGGGGATCATAGCAGTCTTGCTCTTTGCTTTATTGAAAGCATCTAGCACATAGTAGGTGTGGTGTAAGCTACTTGTGAAGCAATGGAATGAGTATTTCAGAGACTTATCACCAGTGCAGCCTATAAAAGAAAAGTAGGTCATCTCCCATGCGTCTCCGAACTTTAAGTACAATCATAGTATATTTCCAGGGAAGCCGGGGTTCACACCATAGTACTCGAGATGCTACTGAACTTCTGTGTGTTTTCCCTTTCCATCTCAGCATGCTATTTAAAGAAAGCAAAAATACTTTGATAAAGAACCTTGAGCATCTTTCTTCATCATAACTCAGTCTTGGGTGCCAACAATGATATATTTCTACTTATTAAACATGTTAAATAACTCCAAAGATTTTTATTTGGCTTACAAACACAAACATCAGTTATATTCCAGATAAATTATATTCCAAGATTTAGCTGACAAAACAGCTAACTGACAAAAAAAAGAAAAAAAGAAAAAAAAATCAGGCTAAGCCTGACAGTATAACTTGCTGGCAAAAAGAACAGTCAGAGGTAAGACCTGGTGTATGTTTCACTTTCCCATTTACTGTTGCAAGCCTTACAGTCATTAACACTGTCAATATTTTGCATGATGATTCCTTCTCTCTCATTTTCTTTCCCTTCTCAGTCTCCTGGCATGAGAATGGAATAAGACAAAAACCTCCACCACAGACCATCAGGTAATAAAGCATGTTAAAGCGCTGCTTGGGTCATGGGAGAGTTAAGGGCAGTTATTAAAATTTACCTCGTCTCTAATAGAGGGTAATGTCACTTTAAGACATGTGAGACTTTAGAGAGGAGGGGTGTATTGAAACAGACTCCTGCTCCTTACAGGAGGTATAGCAGCCCTGCTCTTACATTTCGCTGCCTAACTCTGTCCTGAATGTGCCGGAGTGGGAATGGTCTGTCGGTGGCTATAAACTGCTTCTCATCAGGAAACTACATTAGCTCACCATCACTTCAAAGGTCTCGTCAGACAGAGGTGACGCCAGGAGATGATTTAAAGGTGAAAATGACAAGGTTTCCACCCCTCAAACCCTGGTTCCTTTTCTGACAATACAGTGAATGAACCCAACGTCTTCTTAACTGTGGAAATAGGATCGGAAGAGGAAAGCCTTTTTTTTTTTTTCTTTAATTCTTGATAAAGAACTGCTGGGAAGCATTCTCTTTGAATATCTGAGAATTGTGGCACAGATGGATTTTAAAAAGTGTTAGCTCTTTCCAATGAACACTAGGAGAGTGCCCTGCTCTTGGCTGGATTTTTCAGGTAAGAAAGCCTCTGTAGATTTAAGATCCAGAAAGCAGATTTGAAACATATTCAGAGAAGTACGCAAGGCTAGATGCATTATTTGGGGGAAAACACTTACTGCCACTGAGCGGAGCAGAGCTCTGTGGGAGAGTGGAGAGCGAGCAGGGAAAGGGGTATTCAGGAGCCTGGGAAGTGATGCTGGGAATTAAAGAAAGTTAACAGGAAAAAGCAAAGAAAAAGGGAGGTGCTGTGATTGTCAAGTCAGAGCAGCTTTCTGCATGCTGAGGTCTACTGTGGGTTAAAAATGAGCAAGAGAGAGCAGAGCTCTGAAGAATTGTTAAGTTCTGAGGATGGTTGGATTTTTTCCTGAGTTAAATTCCCAGTGCATTTTAACAGTGATTGAAAACACAGCAAATGCATGCCGGGTCACCTCTGTTTTGTCTTTCTGCAATTTGCAGGCTATTCTGAAAGGCTCTAAAAGGCATTCATTTGGGGATTCACAGGAGGGGAGATGCTATTTATCTCTGCTGATAAGAATGAATCCAGGCTATCCTGCTAGTTCTAAAATCAACGAGGCAAACATGCTGTATACAAAAGTAAATAGTGGGCCACCAAACTAGAAACTAATTAGAAAGTGAGTGGTCCATCTGAGTCACTGCCTGGGGCATTGATGGCGCCATGTGGTTGAAAAGAATGTTTTCCCACTTCGCACTTAATTACAGTTGTCACGTTTATCTATTGTTATCCTCAAAGCCTTTCTCAAACACTCCACCCCTCTAAATCCTGCAAATTACCCAGAATTATGCACATATGTATTTGTATATAATGCTTATTTTTGCTGAACATCACTGGTTTTGAAAGAGTACCAATTTCAACAGATAAGGAAGGCATACTGGGAGGTCACCAGCAGGGTTTTAATATACAGTGGAAATTCTTGAAGGGTGTCATTTGAGAGAGGGGAAGAGGAAAACACAACCTTAATTGCACAAACCCTCTCTAAGCTCTCTAAGAGGAAGGCATGTGGCTAACTGAGTTCTTGTATAGAAGATGCCTCCTAACAGTGGCTGACTAAGGAAGATGCTTCAAGTTTGATTAATTTGCCAATATGAAATGCAGCATAAGGTGTTGTTTGGGAAATTGGACAATATGTAGCGCCATTGAGCTTCTGTAGCTCCTGAGATGCCCATAGGTACAGATAAGACTGTCAAAGTTTCAGCGCCTGAGAAAAGGTATATGCTCACCCATAAATATACACACCACCTGTATATGCATATTCATCAATGCTCTAGCAAATGCCACAATGGGATCTTAGGAGACAAAACAATACTGTAAATTATGGCTTGCTGTAGGATAGATGCATAGACCTTGCATCTGAAACTCATTCTGGCTAAAGACACACTTCCTTCTGTTTTCAAGTCCAGTCAGAGAGTTCAGTTCTATCGGGAGATTACAACATGCCTCTGAGAAATGACTACTTAGTTTAGAGGACAGCATTGCGATTAAAAATTCATGACTATAGAATTAAAGAGGAAAAAAAAAAAGAGCCCACTCTTTTCTTCCAGGCTTATGTCAGACTTGCAATGAAGTTAGAATGAGCAAGTCTGCAGCTTCTGAATGTCTGGGGAAACTAGTTTGCAGCTCTTCGTGTAAAAGTGGATGTTTTCACGGGCAGACAATGTTTTCATCGGCCTGATTGACAGTCAAAAACTTTATTTTTGCATTTTAGGCAGTCGTTGGCCTTTTGCTTTCCAGACCTTAAGGGACATATTTATGAGCTTCTGGAAAGGGTCTTCAATCCTACTCCCTGGCATGACCTCTGCTGGAACATTCCTTCTAGCCTGCCAAGTTGCAAAAGAACACCACGTCTGATATTCCCCCTTCCTTCCTCACTGGGACGTACTGCACTGTGGGCTGGAAGCCAGGGGTAACCTGTTCTTATCTCATGTTCTCTTTAGAGAATGGCAATGGTCTCTGCGATGTCCTGGGTCCTGTACTTGTGGATAAGTGCGTGTGCCATGCTGCTCTGCCATGGATCCCTCCAGCACACCTTCCAGCAGCACCACCTGCACAGACCAGGTAAGTGTGTGTGTGTGTGTGTGTGTGTGTGTGTGTGTGTGTGTGTGTGTGTGTGTGTGTGTGTGCTGGGGGGCGGGGAGGGGGCTTGCTCCACAGCAGGCTCCTCCAGTCTCACTGTGGTCTCTTCAACAGATGGCGGAAAGCAAGTGACAGAAATTGCTATAGTGTGGGCAGTTTGCCTTTGAATTCTAAGACATGTTGTGGGCTGGATGCTCTGGGGGATGGAGAGTGTACCAAAAAAATGCCTTGGAGGTATTTCTGTTAATGTCTCAGAAAAGGTGGATTTTATTTTTCAAAGGAATTGGTCCCCCTCCCTTCACCCCCGCTACCGTCTTCCACACACCTTGTTTAGGAGAATGATTTGGTCTTGGACAATAGCAAAATATTCTACAAACGGTGGAGTAACTTTCAAGACTGGGGTGATTTAGAGAGGAGTCATGGATTTCCCGGGGTGAATTTATACCTAGTGTAGATACTGTCATTTCAGTCTGTGTGGCTAAGGGCTCCAGGGATGTGTTAATGACCAGACTAACTTTAGAAGTTGTCAATGAAAAAGAAAATGAAGCAGTGACTTACTATGTCGTGTCTGGTTTAATTTGCATCCCGTCTTCTCTCCCTTCCTTCCTTCACTTTGGTTCCTCCAGTGTGTTCCGCGCCCCCACCCTTTTTGTCCTCCCTCTGTTGGCAGTTTCTGGAACAAGTTCGCTCTGGCGTGCTTTCTGAAAATTTTCTTTATTGATTCCTTTTTTTGTTTTCCTTTTAGTTTCGGGTGCAGTTTGCTTTCTCCTCCGGCTTCTAACTCTTCCCTCGCCCCACTCTTCAGTGCTGATTTTCCTTTCTTTGCCTGTCTAGCTTTCTCACACAAAGTCACCGCCAGTTCAATCGTCCTTACGCTTCCTGGTTGATTCTCAGGAAGGTTTCCTTCTCCTTTTCCCCCGTAGCTGTGGCTGTGTTCGCCGCACCCCCTACCTTCACCATCCTTGGTGGCCCCCTCGGAGGGTCAAGTGCAACGTTTGGGGACGAGTTGCACACTCAAGTTCCTGCTCCTCAATTCTGCTCTGCTGCCGCCCTCCCTCTCGACCCTCCCCATATCCTTTCCTGGCTTCCTGCCATCCACAGGACTTCTCAGTGCAGCGGGTCCAGGTCCGGAGTGGAGTCTGCATCTCTGTCTTTCCTGGCTCTGCAGCCTTGACTGTGATCCCGCACTCTTGGTTTGGCCTTCTCCAGTCCTTCTCTGGGTGCCTTTTGCTGCCTCCCTCCCCGGGTTGGGTTCAGCTTCCAAGCTGGGGCAGACTGAATAGAGCCGCCAGGGTGCATGCCAGCGCGCGCCTGCTGGGTCTGCAGCCCTCAGCTGCAGAGGAGGGCTGGGGGCGGAGAAGGCCAGCTGTCCCCGGGTCCCATCCGCCTTCCTTCCTTCCATAAGCCAGGTCAGCGAGGGGAGCGAGGGGGCGCTGGTGCCCCTGCGGGTGGGCATGGAAACCATGCTGCCGCCACTGGTGCTGCTTGCCTGTGTTTTCTGTGTCCTGTGTGCAGACCCTGGCACGGGAAGCGCCAGATTTCTGCCAGAAGCTTCAGTGCCAACATGGAGGGAACACAATCGTGGATTTGGGGATCCCTGAGCTACCTCCAACCACTTAATCGCCAATCTGTTCTGGCAAGAAAAGTCTTCGGCTTGTTACATAGTCATACAAATAATCCGGGAAATGCAGTTTCTCTGTAATACTCAACAATGAGATAAAAGAACCATCCATCCCTACAGTTCTAGAGACAGTGTTCACGGTTAATTCATATTGTTAGTTTAGCCACTGTGTAAGTGGATATAATTTACCCGTTTTGCCCAGAGAACGGAAGTGGAAGTTTGAGAGGGTGGGATGTGACAGTCTGAAACCATCCAAAGAATGGTTGCAGATGGAGGTCATGCCCCGTGATTCTAAAACTGTCCCCTAGTACACCAACTGTCTACATCAGATAGCCTCTTAAGGAGCATCGAATATAATCTGTGAAAACTTTAAGGTCAGATCCATGCGCATGCTCATTTAAACTGCAAGTCAGATCTAGGAGGTGGCTGAAGCAGGTGGCTGGTGGTGGGGGCCAGGGACTGGTCAATGCCTCTGTCCCTGAACTTTCCTAACATGAACTTGGATAAGTGACTTTCCATATCTGAGCTGAGTTCCCTGTCAGGGGAGGGGGAAGGGACAGGGGAGGGGAGGATGAGGAGATGACTTCCTAGGAAGTGGGAAGTGAATTTCCCCTTATCAATATCAAGCATCTTTATTAAGGGACTGCAACCTGTAAGTCAGGGATGTTGAATGAGTCAAATTTTACTGTTCCCACTACTAATAGATCCACTTAGCCAGGGCAAAGCTTGATGCTTTTGTTTTCTAAGCATGTGTACATGGCTAGGACATCGGACATGCCAGTGATTACAACCACTTTTACTTTATGCTGTGTGTGTAGTCTCACACACACACACACACACACACACACACACACACACACACACACACACACACACACACACAAAGAGCTCGGATAGAGTTTGTAGTGAACTCTCACATAGAGCATGTCTATTGGCTTATGGGAACTGGGACTATTATGTGTAACAAAGAAATTCATATCATCGTAGGTCTTATTAAAATAACATATTTTTAAAATTGATTCTGACTGAAATTAAACCCACTGCTCATGTTCTTCCTTATCTACCATGGAGCTTGCTCATTATCAGCCAATATATGTTGAAAGTATACCTTAAACATCCCCAAGAACTTTGTTACCAACAGCTCCACCCCCAAGTACTCACTCTCTGAGTCCTGTCTCAGCCTTGCAGTAGAAAAGGAGGAACTATAAGTGCTTCTTCTAGATACAGAGGGATTAAAATAACGTTGATTCAGAAGTCCAGTGGGTCTGTGTAATGTGCTAATTCAACCTTCTTAGGATTGCTACAGTAGCTGCAGAGATTAAAGTGATAGATCTTGGTCACAGTAATCTTCCAAATTATTACAGTCACTATTTAATGTGTTCTTCTGTTTTGATTTTACGAGTAAAAATATGTTTCTCTCTCTCTCTCTCTCTCTCTCTCTCTCTCTCTCTCTCTCTCTCTCAGATAAGTGTGGCATTTTCCTTTGTGGGTCTTAAATCTTCAGAGACATTAATGAAACGTGTGTGAAAACAGAACAAAAAAACAAACCACGGGGCAGTTATCTGTGATACTCCACCCCTAAATGAGCAAATAAATAAAGAAATAGTTGGATAAATGAGCAAAAAAGAAAAGCATAATTTCATTCTCTCAAATCAGTGGAAATAAGTGACATGATGAGAAAAAACGAGACATCAGCCGACCCTAGCCTTGTTGCGTTTGCCTAAGCTTGAAAAATCACCTCCTTCACAAGGCAGAGCAGCATACTTGGCATGCATGCCGAGTGTGTGGAAATGTGCAAAATGACAAATCTTTCACTAGGAGAGAGAGAGAGAGAGTTTGGGGGGGGGCTCTATAGTCACCCTCACCTGCTTAGGAATGGAATTCCCTCCCCCTCAGGCCAGCACCTCACAGTCAGCTTCCCCATCCCCTCCACAGCAAGATTGATGGTGTTCCGATTGCAAGCAGGCAATTTCAGTCTCTCAAGAAATAATCCACTCCACTGACAGATGAGAGGAATTGGATGAGCCGTTCCCCTTGTTGAGAGTATGCCTCCCCTGGATGGCACCAGCCCGTCAGGGCCCGTTAGGGGAAATGGTTAGAGATTTGGGCCAATTTCTGCTGTCATGACGTGAAATTGGGACAGTGTTTTCGTAAGGCCACGCATTTGTGATCTGTCTCCTCGATGTAGTGGGTTTGTGCACAAACAGAGTGAGAATATGTTAACTAGAAAACTGACTGATTTTTAATGTATTTGCCTGCAGCCCCTAAGTACTTCCTATTTTTCATATTTATAGTATTAAGAATGCATCATTTATTTTCACTTACTCACTAGTTAAGGAAGATTAAAACAGTCAATCAAATGAAACTGAAATTTAAAATTACATAAGTGAATAAAATGTGCTATAGATGAACAGATTCATAATTTCAATAATTGAATATTGGAATAGTTTTTATCTGGGGAATGATGTAGGAAGTTACTATGACAACTTGAAAAATATTTTTGCCTCCCCACACCCCCGTACCAGACCTTTGGTAGGACAGTTATTTTTAAAAAGACAGATTCAACAATGAAAACTCAGATGTAGCATCTCTGGTTTCTAGTAATTAGGACAGTCTAAGTTCTTCACACTTAACAGTGTGTGCGCAGGGGGAAAAAGGATAAATCGTTTGCCAAATGCAGTCTTCCAATTTAAGATTATGTTTGCTCCTGGTATGGATATGTGGATTATGATGGCAATTTTAACGTTTGCTTTATTTGCGGTATGTGGGTGGATGTGGGAGTGTGTGTGTAGAGGGGTGGATGTGTCCTTGAAACAATAAAATATGAGTCTTCTCAAAATTGTTTAGCAAGAAAAGAATCCCTGGGATTCTTTAGTAAAATAAAATTACATATCTATGAATTACATGAGACAGAAGTTAGAAGTAGACAATGAATCATTTGTTCTTGAGTCAATGTGATTTCATTGACGTTGGAAATGATATATAAAAGCTTGCTCTGAATAGAATATCTCTGTAATTTATACTTGACGAGATTTAAGACTGCATTAAGCAAACTGTGTATGTTAGAAGTCCTCATTTATGACTTTATTATATAGTGAACATCACCATCCATTTTAACATGAGAATTTGGGGTAAATCAATTAAAATGTGTACATACCTTACATTAATTTTTACTCTACCATTCAAAACCACATTTTAGAAAACTGCCTGGGACGTATGTTTCAGATGCTTTTCAATAAGGGTTGTTTTATAGTTTTAGTGTATAAGAACTAGTGGGTACAACTGTGGTTGCACATTTTCCTTTTAGGAATGCCTACTAGCTTAAAGTTGCTAAGTATAGTGGATTGGTGTTAGAATTGGAGCAGACAGGCTGTTATTTGGTATAAGCTGGTGCTAGTGATAATGCATTGATCATCTGATGGATGATATTGACCTCCTCCAAGAGGCACAGTGAAACTATGGACATCAAATAAAACACCAACATACCAGGGCCAAGTAGAGATATAAATACATATTTCCTGTCACTGCCATGAACTCGAAACAGAATGGTGCAAATACCATACAAATGGCTACTGATTTAAGTACAAGACTATGCCTTCAAATCATAGTTAAGGGCAATAGACATTACACTACACTGCATACTAAAGTAGTTAGTAATGGCACAAATGAACATTAGTTGCCAATTACTAATTTCTTAAACTTCATTGGAGATGATGATCTGAACTTTCAACTTGAAACACTGGAGACCATTTTAGTTGAGTACAGCAAAGCAGGTGAACCATTTTCCCACAGCACTGTCCCTTAAATTACGGTATCTCTTAGAATGTGGAATGTGTGAATTGGACACATGCTTCCACTCCTAGACACTTACCACTAGGAAAAATTTTGGTCATGTGTGAAATTTTTGTTGAGGTATAGTTATTGCAGGAATGGTTAAAATGGCAACAACAGTGTTTCGGCTCCATCAAAATGGGATTGATAAAATAAATGATCATCTACCCAGTGGAATTCAGTGTGGCCATCACAAAGGATGAGTTGTGCTTATGTGTGCTCATGCAGAAAAATCCCTAAGATTTTAATGAATGAAGAAAACAAGGAGAGGAATACTATTTCAAAATAATTTGAAGAGATACAAAGAATACCAAACGGTTATGAACATCCTGCATTACTAGTGAAATCTGAAAAAACTTCTTAAAAGATTTAAGAGGGTTTCATTTTTAATTTGTATAAATTAGTTATACATAATAATGGGCTTTGCTTGTACATTTTCATGTCTGTATATAATGATTTTGTTTATATCCAACCCCTTATTGTGATCCATCATCCTAGCATTCTCACTTATCTTTTTCTTACCAAGTAGTTCTCCTTCTACTTTTCATGTCTTTTTTTTAAGACTTAGTTTTTATTTTTAAGTGTGTGTGTGTGTGTGTGTGTGTGTGTCTGTCTGTCTGTCTGTCTGCCTGTCTGTCTATGGGTGGATAGGTACCCATGAGTGCTGGGGCCTGAGGAGGCCAGAGGTGTTGAATGCCCTGGAGCTGGAGTGACAGGTGTTTGTGGGCTGCTCAGTGTGGGAGCTGGGAAACAAACTCTGCTGCTCAGCGAGAGCAGTACATTCTCTTAACTACTGAGCATTCTCTCCAGCCCTGTTAGATTATTTTTTATGTATGTGTGAACCAAATGAGTTTAATTAGGGATACTTACAGGAATACAGGGGTGGGGTAGAGGGTAGGAGGAAGGGGTTATTTATTTGAGCATGGACAACTTACCGGTTGCTAGACCACTGAAGAAAGCTTTTCTGCTTCCCCCAGAAGCTTGTAACTATCTATAGACTTTCAGGGAGGAGTAAGGTATCCTATGTCCAT